CCAAGTACTTGGGCCATGCTCCACTGCACTCTCGGGCCATAGCAGAGAGCTGGCCTGGAAGAGGGGCAACCGGGACAGAATCCGGCGCTCTGACTGGGACTAGAACCTGGGGTGCTGGCGCTGCAAGGCGGAGGATTAGCCTATTGAGCCACGGCGCTGGCCCATCATTCATTCTTAAGCATTTGTTTACAGATGCCGTTTATGTGCTGGGCACTGGGGACCCACTAGCAGCTGAGTGAATTTGCATGTGTCTGAGGGAACTGAGTGGCTTCATGAACCCCTGGGGCTCTCCCCGCAATGGCTGCCAGCGTGCCTGGCACCGTGCTTAGCCGTTCCCATGCGTTCATTGATCCAGGCACTGGGGCAGTCCTAGTACAGATGGTGAAATGCAGGCGCAGCGAGGCTGAGCTGCTCCCCTAAGGCACACAGCCGGCCGATAGCAGAGCAGGTTTGAACTCAGGGCATCTGACTGCAGAGTCCGTGCTCTTCATCATAGACCGTACAGCCCCTCATGAAGGAGCAATGCCCTTTCAGGACAGTGGCAAGTGCTACAGAGAAACAAAGAACGGGGGCCAGGGACACAGGGCCAGAGGGTAAGTGCTGGCATTTGAGACCTGCTGGTAAGAAAGAGCCAGCCCCTTGAAGATCAGTGGAAATGGGACGTACAAAGGCCCAGAGGCAGGGTGGGACAGAAGGAAAGGCATGGTGGCTGGAGCATCATCAGGCAGGGCTCTGGCCTGTAAGAGGTGAAGTCCCAAGTCTCAGTGGCCCCCACGATGGACATGCATTCCTTTAAAAAAAAAAAGATTTTGTTTATTTATTTGAAAGTCAGAGAGTTACACAGAGAGAAGAAAGGCAGAGAGTGAGAGGTCTTCCATCCGATGGATCACTCCCCAGTTGGCTGCAACAGCCGGAGCTGCGCCAATCCAAAGCCAGGAGCCAGGAGCTTCTTCAGGATCTCCTACGTGGGTGCAGGAGCTCAAGGACTTGGGCCATCTTCCACTGCCTTCCCAGGCTAGAGCAGAGAGCTGGATCGGAAGAGGAGCAGCTGGGACTAGAACCGGTGCCCATATGGGATGCTGGCGCTTCAGGCCAGGGTGTTAACCCACTGCGCCACAGCGCCGGCCCCGGACACATATTCCTTACATGTGGGGATTCCTGATCAGTGGGTGGCTGTTCTCCAGGTGGCCATGCAGGACCCAACCAAGGCCCGCCCCTCTGTGACTCCATTGCCCCTACCCACAGCCCCGAGTAGCCATGCTGAGCCTGTGTAAACCTGGGAGATGCCGATGGCCAGGAAGCAGGGCACATTGCCTCTGCCCTGAAGTGCAGAGGAGGGCTTGAGTGTGGCTAGAAGCCAGCCAGACTCGGCCACGCTGACGGCTGCTGGGTGTGCAGAGGGAGAGAGCTCAGGTTCGGGCGTAGTTTAAGGGAGCACCAGTGGGACTTGCTGCTGGATGGGGCGGAGGAAGGCGAGACGTAAGCTGGCTTTAGGGTGGTGCAGCCGACCGAGGGGAGGAGCCGAGGCTCCAGGGCGGACATGACTGCCACGCTGTCAGGATCTTCACACTGGTTCTCCGGTCAGGTTTTTGGAAACTGTTCTCCTCACTGTCCCCACGCCCTTTATCACGTGCTGGGGCAGGTCCTCCTGGCAGGAGGTGGCCTCTGCCTCCCTGCACCTTGTGTCTTGGTGGTCCCACAGCTCGCTTTGGCCGGTGGCCAGTGGCAGACCTAGTGCAGTGCCAGCTCTGAGCCTGCGCCCAGAAAGCCTTGTGGCATTCGCTGCCTCTGATGGCAGTCACCTGGGCTCAGATGTTGGAGGATGGGGCACAGGGGGAGGATCCCAGGGTCTTGGCTGAAATCTTCATACACAGCCCCCAGTGAGCTGACCCTGAAGCACAAGACCAGCGGGGTCAACAGCCGGACCCACAGTTGCCCATGGGGCAGGAGGGCGTCCAGCGGAGACCAGAAGAACCTGAGGCACTGTGGACCCATAGATAAAAACAGACTCAGTTAGGGGCGGCGGACAACTCTAGGGCAGCTACAGAACGCATTTACCATGGGGGTCCCGTAAGATTGCAGCGGAGCTGGGAGCTTCCTGCTGCCTCGACTCTCCTGGGCCCAATCTGTGTTCAGATACCAGGCTTCCACGGATGTCCACGGTATCCATTGTGGGGACAGGCAGAGCAGTCTTTGGCCTGGGAACCACCGGTGGGCCCATAGAGCCCAGGTTTGGGTTTGGGTTTGGGTTTGGGGTTGGCTACGTGCACTCCACGACATGCACGTGGGGAGGGACTCACCTGATGCCTCTGGTCAGGACTATGCTTATCGCTGGAGGGCGCCGAGTCTTGGGGACGGAGCCTGGGACTCAGCACTGGCTGACTGCTGCACTCTGCAAGCAGGACAGGAGCGCTCGGCATGGGCCCGGGACGTGGGCTCAGTTCTGTGCCTGTCGGTGACAGCTGTCGGGGGTCCTGGTTCTGATTGCAGCAGGTGAGGATGAGGAAGGGCAAGGCCCCCTGCAGCACACGAAGGCTCCATCTGGGGCACGCGTTTGTCAGGTGGAGAGGAGGGAGGTGAGTGCTCTGGGTGGAGGAAGCAGCAAGGATACAAGACGGACAGGGGCCCGTGAGGACCGCAGGAACCCTGCTGGGAATGAGAAGCTTATCCGGCCGGCACCATGTTCTCTTGATCAGTGGCACTGCTGAGATTGCAGGGCCCAAGGCTGCCAGCCGGGGCCAGGCTCAGTGGGTAGGAGCTCAGATTTTGTCGACAGGGCAATGGGGAGCCATGGCTGGTGGCAGACAGGGTATGGATTGGTCAGGCCTGAGCTTGGAGGCTAGCTTGATGGGGCATGAGGACAGGCAGGGAGACCTGAGAGGAGGCAAATGATGTGGTAGCCATGAGTGATGCAGGTATCTGGGGTTAGTGGGCAAGTCCGTGGAGTTAGTGGTGTGGGTGGGTAGGCGGAGTTAAGTGTTGTGGGTGGAGTTAGTGATGCAGGTGGCTGGGGTTGGTGGGCAGGTCCGTGGAATTAGTGGTGTGGGTGGGCGGAGTTAGGTGTTGTGGGTGGAGTTAGTGATGCAGGTGGCTGGGGTTAGTGGGCAGATCCATAGAGTTAGTGGTGTGGGTGGGTGGGTGGGTGGAGTTAAGTGTTGTGGGTGGGGTTAGTGATGTAGGTGCTGGGGTTAGTGGGCAAGTCTGTGGAGTTAGTGGTGTGGGTAGTGGGTGGAGTTAAGTGTTGTGGGTGGGGTTAATGATGCAGGTGGGCAGTCAGTGAGGGTGTCTAAGAGACTGACAGCAAAACTTCACTCCTGCACTCTATTGACTAAGGTCCTGCTGAGGGGCTCCCAGGGCCAGGATACCCCCAGCAGAGTGGTTCAGAACCCAGTTTACCTGTTCCGTGGAGCCTTGAACTGGCTTTGAACTCAAGTCTGGAGCGTGGGTGTGTGCGTGTGCCATGTAGGAACTTTATCACTGCCACACTCCCCTTTGCACCAGCTTATTTTGCTCCCTTGGTGGGTGCCCTGTGCCCATGAGAGGCTGTACCCAGAGCCTCGAGTCTCCTGCTCTGACTTCCCTCAGTCAAATTTGCTCTGTGGCCTTGAGGAAATCCTGGACCCTCTCTGGGCCTTGGCTTCTCCATCTCTGGACCGAGATTGGGTCCAAGTCAGAGGCTGCAGGCCGGTGGCACAAAAGCCATGGTCAGTGTGCTGCTGGGCTCTGCATGGTCATGCAGGTGTCAGCACACTGACAAAGTAGAAGGTTAGTGTTAGAAAGCTTTCTAAACTTTCCAGGAAATACTCAACGGATCTGGCCTCAGTGACGCCCACACCACTGACCCCAGGCACCTGTACTTTCAACACCATCGCCCTGGCCTTTCTGATGTTTTTGAGTTTGCCTGTTAAGATTGCACCCTTTAAAATGTCAGTTTGCTGAAAAGATGCGTTAGGAATAGATTCAAGGGAGTTATGTTTGCCCCACCTAGAGCCAAATATTTATTCCCATAAGCCACGCTTGAAGAAGCCTGTAATTGTGGAGAGAACAGTGATGACAATAACTAATCATGAGATTGAGCCTTCATCCCTTGCTGTGTGACTCAGAGTGCTGCAGCATCATGACTGGGAGGACCCTGCCCCAGCTGGGAGGGAGGTGGCATCACCATGAGGCCTAGAGTGTAGCTGAGGCGGGCACCCAGAGGGAGGGGAACCACAGTGGGCTATGGGACCAGGTGACAGGCTGCCAGGGTACCTGGCCCTTCTCACAGTTCCAGTGGCCCGTGTGCCAGGCCCATTCCTCACCTGGACAGTAAGGGAAGACATAGTGGTGACTTCTCTCAGGCCATTTTTTATTTCTTTAGCATCCAGCAGTCATAGGGGAGGGGGCTGGTCAGAAGCTCCCCACTCCCAGGTGCCAGTGAAGTCAGGAGCAGAGGGTCTGCAGGCATGGGAAGCCCACCACCCAAGGAGGACATTCTAGGTTTTCTAAAGCCAAGATGAAATGTGACACGCTTCCTCCCCCCAGATGCTCCTGTGTTAACTCCTAACCCACCTACCCAACTGCCCACCCACTCATCCGTCTTTTCATTCATCCATCTATCTACCAGTCTACTCATCATCCATCCATCCATCCATCCACCCACTAGTCTACTCATCATCCATCCATCCATCCATCCACTAGTCTGCTCCACATCCACCCACCCATCCATCCACCCACTAGTCTACTCATCATCCATCCATCCATCCATCTGTCCATTCACTAGGTCTACTCCTCATCCACCCACCTACCCATCCATCCACTAGTCTACTCCACAACCACCCACCCATCCATCCATCCACTAGTCTACTCATCATCTATCCATCCATCCACCTGTCCATCCATCTGCCTACTAGCCTACTCAACACCCATCCATCCCATCCTTTGCTCACATGCCCACTCATTCAGATTTCCAAATAAGGACAAAAACTGTAAAAATAAAAATCCAAGGGAAGGAATCGACCAACCATCCAGCCATTTTTATTTGTTCATGCTGTGATCCAGGCCTGGCGCTGACGGCAGGGAGCTAGACAGAGGTGGTGGGGCTCCCAGCACATGGCAGCATGGGGCTGTGCTCTCGGAGGTCTCTGAGCTTCCCCAGTGGCTGGGGGAACACCATCCAGAGGGGCCATCGCTTATGGCTCAATATGACCAGAAGGGTGCTGCTGTCTGCCTCACCTGCAAGCAAAGACCCCCAGGAAGCAGCAGAGGGGCAGGCACACAGCTCCATGCACAGGCACCTGGAGAGGGATAAACAGATACCTGGGGACACTTGGGAGTGCCAGAAGTGCTTCCAGGTGTGAAGTCACAGAAACATCTCAGGATTCCCCAAGGTGTCTCTCTCTCTCACACTCACACACACACACACACATGCAGACAGACACAGGAGAATGTCCACAGCCCTCTAGGGCAGAGCTTTCATGGTGAGAAGCACTGGGCATGGCTGGCCCCAAGGAGCGGGTGCCCCGCCCACCTCTCCCTACAGGTCTGCCCTGGGGTTGACATCTAGGAAGTGCCAGCGGGCTGTAGCCCCTGCTGCACCTGCTTCTCTGCCCCCTTCTGAGGACTGCACCTCACCCCGAGTGACACACAGGCAATGGCGGGGGTGTCCCGGTGGGGCCAGGGCTCCCTGAGCTGGCTGCTGCTGATGGTGACAGCACACAATGCTCAGGGCAGGACTCGCTCACTATGGCCACTCCTCCCCGGGGTCAGCCCTCATGACCCTCCCCTAACAGGGGCCACAACAGCCTGAGGCCAGGGATTTAAGTTCTTGTTCCATTAACCCCGAGACGGCTCAGCTCCAGTACCCAGGGGTCCTTGGCAAGCAGGACCCAGCATGGGAGGGAGGTGGAGGGCCTGACCTCTCGCCCAGCCTCACCCATCCTTGCCCCAGAGTGAGGCTGAGCATTAAGAGGAGGCATAGGCTGTGGGGTGACGCAGGCCGACTCATTATAAATAAAATATTCATATAAAAATAGCCTCTTACAAAATAGTCTCTTATCCAGTGGCTCACTTTCCAAAAGATAGACACTGCTGGGAATCTAGCACTCCCTTTCTCTTTCTCTCTCCGTCCTCTCTCGCTCCCTCTCTCCCTCTCTCCCTTTTTCTCTCTCTCTCCCTCTCTCTCCCCTTCTCCCCACCCCCCCCCCAACTCTGTATTCCAAACTGAATTTTTCTAATGCTGAAGTCTAAACCGGGGAGGGAAAAGGGTGGGAAACGTTTTCACGGCAAACATCTCCAAGTCTGGACCAGCGTAAAGTTCTGGATAGGTAGCAGCAAACAGCAAAACAACAGAAACGTGCGTGGATGGAGAGCTGTACATGTGTACAGGTGTCTGCTCTCGTCCTTAAACGCCTAGTGGTGAAAAAAGGAAGGGGACACCTGCAAACCCAGCTCGCCGCGGCCGCTGCGTCCAGATGCCTGTGTTTAGTTCTGCTCAGTTCCTGTTCCTAGTGACAGAGTCGGCCTGGCAGGAGAGCACGTGGTCCACTTTGATTGCAGAAAACGGATCCGACGAGGTGGAAGAACTCTTTTAATTAAATAAATTAATATTATTTTGTATCAGAATAAACTGTTAAATATTGCTATGATGAGGCCCGAGGGTCCAGAGTTCCTGCTGCGAAGGACTTCACTCTAGCCACGGAGGGACCTGGGCGGTGTCTGGGGGAGGGTGGAGCAGCATTGGATGTGGAACAGAATCGTCGAGGGCTCTGAGCGATCTTCTCCACGAGCATCCCATCCGCGGGAAACCCAGGAGAAGAGCTCCGCCCCACTCAGCAGAAAAAGACAAACTCAGCGTTCCCGGGGTTCCCCGGGAAGATGGAGGCAGCGGCCTCCTGGGGAGCCTGCAGCCTGGAACGGCGCAGCCCCCGAAGCAGTCTTGCTCACAGCCGGAGGGTGGCGCGCGGCCCGTCGCGGGCTCACTTGCACGTGTACATCTCAGTGCGCTCGCTGCACGTGTTGCATTTGACGTAGCAGCACCAGTGGAACTTACAGTTGCACTGCCACACGCGGGCGTACTGGTGGGTGTTGTAGCCGCGGCCGCAGCACATGAGGTCGCAGCCGCTGGCCTGGGGGGCCGTCTTGTTGCAGGCACGGCCCTGCGTGCCCACGCTGCCCGTCACCGGGTCCTCCTCGCAGTAGTTGGGCGACTTCTCGATGTACACCAGGTCCGTGTCCATGGGCTTGCGGTACGACAGTGGCTTCTTGATCTTCAGGAAGGTGGGACGCTTGTTACGGCTGGCGCGCACCGGCTCCACGTGCACGGCCTCGTTGTACTTGTCCTTGAGCACGTAGCCCAGCTCCCGGAACTGGGGCAGCGTGGTCCAGCAGGTCTTAGTGGTGCACGAGCCCGACACACCGTGGCACTTGCACTCCAGCTTCATGTTCTCCTCCAGGATCTGCAGGGGTGGGCAGGAGGAACACAGCACACATCACTGCACACCAGGGCCAGCGAGTGCAGCACCCCTGCCAGGCACCGCCCCGTCCCGCCTCCAGCGCAGGACGCGTGTTGGAAGGAGGCTTCACCCACCTCATCCTCTGCTGCGTCCCCAGTCCCTGCATGACCCCTGACCACCCCCACCTTCACACACAGCAGGTGCCACCTGTGGCCCCAGTCCTGAGCCATGCGCTGGCCCCGAGGTAGAGGCGAGGGGACCTCCACCCCCATCATGGGATCTGTGCTCTGGGTGGGTTGTGGACCCCAGACACCCATCAGGGTACAAGGCAGAGAGCTGCCCAGTGCCGAAGCCCAGCCCCAGGCTCACAGGCTTCTTCCTCTCGTTTTCCTGTGGCACTGAAGCAGGCCTGTGTCACAGGATGGTAACATGGCAGAGGCCAGCAGCCTCTGTGCCCCGTCTTTAATCCAGGATCCAGAGTGCTGCCACTGACAAGACAGCACTGACCTCTTTCCCTGCCTGCTGCACCATGCTCTCAGCTGCCCTTCCCTGCACCATGGCTCTGGCCTGCGCCCCAGGCTCCCCCGCACCTGGAGATGCAGGCTTGGTGCCTGGCCGGCCCTGCAGGGCCTCAGGGACCCTGAGCAGTAGTTACTTGGGTCTGGGGCATAACGGCCTAGAGGAGTCTGAATGCACCCTGGTGGTGAATTATCTGCGGGCATTCCCTGAGCACCTGCTGGGTGCCAGGCAAGGGGGAGGTTGCACAGGATCATGTCCCTGGACCCTGAGGCCCAGGTGGGAAGGGGGCTCGTAAGCCCTCCTCTTGGGCAGCTCAGAGCTGGGAGCCAGCCTGGCCTCAAGTGAAGAGAGTGGGCTGCAAAGAATGCAGCTGTGTCTGTTCCTCACTTCCTCTGCTGTTGTCCCCTGCCCTGAGGAGAGGGCTGGGTGCCCGTCTGGGTGACCAGCCCCGGCTGGGGCAGCTGTGATTGTGCCCGGCTTACTGCAGTCACAATGCAATCGCTGAAGCTCTCAAAATGCAGCGTCGGCAGGATTAGCCAGGATGTCACCTGACTCGGGGCCCAGTCACTGCTTCTATGGCCCCAGGCCATCAGTGGCCACCAAGGTAGAGGGAGGCCGTGTGTGGGAGGCTGCTTGGGCAGCAGTGGCAGCCAGAAGCCCAGATTCAGCCCTGGGCTTATGGCCATGATAACATTCAGAATCCCCGACTCGTGCCACTTTGCCTCTGAGACTTCCCTGGGACTCCCCACCACCTGCTTTTAATAAAACAACTTTATGAAGATACAATCCACACACCCTATAAAGTAACCACGTAACACATGCATTTCAGTGCCATTACTAGGTCCACAGATAGGGCCGCCATGATCAGTTTTGTGATATTTTCATCACCTTGGACAGAAACCTGACCCCTGGAGAAGTCACTCTCCCTTCCCCCAAACCTCCCCACTGCCCACCTACCTCTCCTCTGTGCCTGCAGATCTGCCTGTACTGGGTTTTTCCTGTGAAGGAGTCACACTGCTATGCAGTATTTTCAAGGGTAGTCCATGGCCTATCATGTGTCAACCCTTCATTTCTTCCTAGGCCCAGTTAATGCGGCATTTCCTGGGCAGATCACATTGTTTCTCCACTCACCAGGAGGTGGACATCCAGGTGGGCGTTACTTTCTGGCTATCTGGGATGAGGTTGCTGGGAATATGGGTTTAAAGTTGTTTGTTTGGGCGTATGTTTTCAGTTATTTTGCGTAAGTAGTGAGGGATGGGATTGCTGGGTCCTAGGGTAACTGTGAATGTGGAGGAGCTACCAGACTCATCCAGAGCGGCTGCACCCTCTCACCATCCCGCCAGTGGCGAGTGAGCATGCCCGTTTCTCCACGTCATCACCAGCACTTGCTACTGGCTGCCTTTCTTGCTCTAGCCATCCTGGTGACCGTGAAGTACGCAGCGTCTCGGGGCTCCTCTGGTTGGTGTTTCCCTGCTGACTGATGACACTGAGCATCTTTTCAGGAGCTTGGGGCACTATGCATGCTGCATTTTTATAAACTGTGGAGTGGCGTCTGTGTGTAATAGGAGCACTGAATGCCGTGTCCATTTTAAGGGAATGGTTATAGAGCGTGATCCCTATGAACAGAACCTGGACAGCACCCCCACAGCACCCCAGTGGTCTTCCAGCCCTTCTGCCCATCCACCCCAGACCTGAGATCTGGGCTCCTGTGTTCCTAACTTTATTTTCCTTAAAGATTTATTTATTTGGAAGTCAGAGTTACACAGAGAGAGGAAGAGGGGCAGGGAGACAGACAGAATGAGAGAGAGAGAGAGAGAGAGAGAGAGAGAGAGAGGTCTTCTATCTGCTGGTTCACTCCCTGTTTGGCTGCAATGGCCAGAGCTGTGCCGATCCGAAGCCAGGAGCCAGGCGCTTCTTCTGAGTTTCCCACATGGGTGCAGGGGCCCAAGCACTTGGACCGTCCTCTACTGCTTTCCCAGGTCATAGCAGAGAGCTGGATTGGAAAGGGAGCAGCTAGGATACGAACTGGCGCCCATATGGGATGCCGGCACTGCAGGCAGTAGCTTTATCCACTACGCCACAGCACCGGCTCAGTTCCTAACTTTTATTTATATTGTCTTCCTGTGGCTGGGCTCCTAAGCAGTGCAACCCAGTTTTGTCTGACCTTGCACTTGATGCAAGTGAAACTATTCTGTGGACATGGTTTATGACTTGATTGCTTCCCTCCACATGGTGCTGCTGAGCTCAGTCGGGGTTAGTGTGATTTTCTGTAGGGGTCCTGGTCACTGCACTGTGCATCTCATGGACCTGCACCACACCCACACGGCCCTCTGAGTGAGCGTTCCAGGTGCTCCACATCCTGGCCAGTGCTCCATACGTCTGAGTCTGTTCTGAATGTCCTGCCCAAGGTCACAGAGGGTACCACCTCCCTTCCAGGTGTCTCTTCTCGCTCCTGTCTCCTGCCCCAGACGGCCAACCTGTGCGTTGGCATCAGAGCTTGCTCCAGGACACAGGCGTGCCCGGGGTTGGTGGGTTGGGCCTGGGGCACACCACGGTCATGGTGAATGGCTCACGGCAGGAGATCAGAAGGCAGAAGCAGCACAGTTCTGGGAGTTCTTCCCCTGCTGTCTCCCCACAAGACACCCCCGGATGGCTGTGCTGGCCCAGCTGAGTTCACAGCCCCTGCCGCGACAGCCTCACGTCGCTGCCCCGGCATGGGAGCCGCCCCAGCTCCCCACGCCCTCTCTGGCCAACCCCAGGGTGCTGCACCAGCCCTTTCATGCTCCTCCAACTCGGTTCTGCTTCATTTGCAAACTCTCCTTTAACAGCTTTATCTCAAGAGAAGTCCCATAGCACGCGGTGGACGTAAAACGTACGATGCGGTGGTTTTGTATGGCACTCGTGGAGTTGCTCAACCAGCCCCACCAGGACCCTGGAAACTTCACCATCAGCCCCACGTGCAGTCTGCGCCCACAGGCAGTCCCCCCGGCCCTCCTGTAGCTGTCGGGGGCCTAGGCCCACGTGAAGGTGGAAGCATGCCTGGCTGGCTCCGCTCACTCTGCACAGCGCTGTCAAGGTCGGGCCACTTTGTGGCTGGGGTCAGGGTTTCCCTCCTTGTCACAGCTGTGCGACCTTCCAAGCTGTACACCAGCCATGTTTTCTGCAGCTGTTCATTGGGTGTTGGCCAGCCGTCTCCTTTGACACCCTCTGCCCACAGCACCCAGCCACAGCCACGGGGGACACCTGTGACTCCTCCGTGGCAGGCCCGAGCACCAGCCGTGTCCTCCTGGCTTCAGGCCCACAATCCTTCCACTGTGGCTACTCTCACCTCTTCCACCACCTGGCACTGCACCTGCCAGTTTCTTAGCCGGAACTAGGCTTTGTCAGCATCACACTGACAATTCCACTGCGGGCCACAGGCCTGCACAGTGACCAAAAGACCATTGGAACCATCATAAGGATGGAGCCACCAGGGAGACTGGTTTTAATAATGCCAGCAGACGTAGCCACTGGAATGTCTTGCAACTGTTCCCGTGAGGGAGGTAGCTCTGGACTTGCCAGCCGGGGCCCGCTGGCCAGGCACTTGGGTAGGAGAACAGAGCAAGGGCCATGGCATGGTGGTGAAGCAGCTGCTTGTATGGCTGGCATCCCATATGAGCACCGGTTCGATTCCTGGCTGCTCCACTTTGAATCCCTGCTGCTCTCTGTTAGTATGTTTGGGAAAGAAGCAGCAGGTGGCCCCTGCCCCCAGCATGGGAGGCCTAGATGGAGTTCCAGGCTCCTGGCTTCAGCCTGGCCCAGCCCTGACCGTTGTGACTACTGGGGAGTGAACCACTAGATGGAAGACCTCTGTCTCAAGAGACTGTGCTTGTGAGAGCGCACAGTATCTCCGGATAGTTTGTGAGGAGTCAGTAGGAAATGCAGCCTCCAGGGAGGGCCCCATGGGATGCACACGCAGGAGCTTTCCTTTTCCCGGCCAAGGGAATGTGCAAGCCCCCAGTCTAATTATAAACTGATGGGCACCGTGGCGTGTGAGGGAGTGCAAAAGAAAAACTGGACCAGGTGGAGGTGCTCTTGTGTGGAGCTTAAGCCTCCCCCAAGAGGGCTGGGAGCTGGGTGTCAGGAAAGATACACTAGAATGAGCCATGCTCTGGAGGCGCACGCTGCCAAGGCCCAGCAGCGTGGCTGGAGGGCACAGGGTGAGGGTGACCAGCAGGCCAGGTAGGCATCTGCAGGAATTACCACTGGGCCAAGGGCAGCGACTGGTACAGGGTACCCTGGGAGAGCATCAGCTGAGATGGTCCAAGCAGAAGCAGAGACCTGGGTGGAGCCCTGCCCACCCCTGGGCCCAGTTGGTGGCAGCGGAGAGAGGGGAGGAAGCTTACTGGTGGCACTTGGTGGTGACCGCTCTGCAGGGTCTGCGGGTGACCCCCGGGCCTCCATCGGACAGGAGGCCCTCAGTCACGCATGAGCCACAGAGGGAC